GTGGATTTTTCCTTTAAGGAGTATGTAGTTTCCTTGGCATTTAGTTTTTGCAGTTCTTTGTACGTTCTGGACACTAGATCCTTGGCTGAAGTGTAGCTGGTAAAGATTTTCTTCCATTCTGTAAGCTTCTAAATATGCTGATTTTTCCTTGGATGTATAGAAACTTTTTATTTTCTTGTAGTCTCATCTGTTGATTCTTGTGCTTGGGTCCTGTGAGATTAGTGCTATCTTTAAAAGATTCTTACCTATTTTAGTACCTTGAATGGAGTCTCTTGTGTTTTCTTCTAAAAGTGTCAATGTTTCAGGTTTTAAATTAAGGTATTTGATCCATTTTTATTTTTGTACAAGGTGAAGGATATGTATTGAATGTTATTATTCTGCAGGTAGAAATTCACTTTTGCCATCACCATTTGCTGAATATACTATCTTTATCCCAAAGCATATTTTTGTCTCCTTTACTAAAAATTAGGTGGACATACTTTTCCATTTTATTTCTGTGTCCTTCATCCTATTTCATTGACTCACTTGTCTTTTTGTTAATGCCAGTAACAGGTTGTCTTTATCATTACAACTTTATAGTGTAATTTGATGTCTAGCATTATAACACCTCTAATATTGTTCTTATTACTTAGGATTGTTTTAATTGCTTGTGCTCTTTGTAGTCCTATATGAATCTTGTATTTTTCTAAACCTGTGAAATATGACATGGGGGATTTGATAGGTATTACATTAATTCTTCAAATTAATATTGTTAGTGTGACATTTTCACAATATTAATAGGTGGTAGTTCCTCTGATAGAGGTACTGGGAACTGAATTCAGATCATCTGTGTGAGCAACAAGTGCAAGCCACCCCTTCAACCTGAAGGCATAAGTTATTCATGGCTGTATAAGTTAAATTTGTATTGTCAAGTTGAGCATCTCAAACACTTTTTAGCATTTTTTTTGTTACAATTGAATTTACATAAACAAAAGTATGCAGTATAAATCTGTAGATCAATCAACTTAAAAAGAAAAGTAAACGCATATGGGAACTTTCACCCTCACCAATGTGTAGGATATTTTCATCATTTAAGGTATCTCCATTCCCTGCTCCACTTATAAATTCTATAACCCTAAAGAAACCACTGTCTTAATTCATAACTCCACAGAGGATTTCTGCCTGATACTGTATAAACAGAATCACATAGCATTTATTATTTATTTTTAGTCTATATGTGTGTGTGTGTGTGGTTGTCCATACTTGCTTGTGTGTATGCATATGTGTGTGTGTATATGTGTGTGGACACGTGGAGGCTGGTTGATGCTGAATGCCTTAATTATTTCCTACCTTTTGCTTTGCACTCAGGGCTTACTATTTGGGCTGGGCTGACTGGCCAGTGAGCTTCAGCAATCTTCCTGTCTCCATCTCTCCAACACTGAGATCATAAGGACATGTTGCCATGCACCATAATTTTTCCTGTGGTGAGTTGGAGGAGGACCCCTCTTCCTTGTGCTTGTATAGCAAGCACTGTAGCAATAGAGCTATCTCTTCGGTCATAATTACACACTATATAGTATTCTTTTTTTGTCTGGTTGTTTTTACCTAATTTGCTTGAGAGAAGTTTTCAGTTTGTAACTGAAAAAAAAAAAGTAAAATTAATTTACTTATTTTTATTGTGATATAATACTGTATTTTATGTACATAGCACAATTTATTACTTAATGCATTGTAGGCATTTGAACTGTTTACAAGTTTTAGGAGTTAAAATTATTAATACCATCAACCATATATAAGGCCTTTCTATTGGATGCCTATCCAGATGTAAGTTTACTGGGGCATCTGTTGTGTGTGTTTTCAACTATTTTTGATATTAGTATATAGTTTCCCAAGTATCTGCCAGTGAGCATCCCAGTTGTACCATATCCTTTATAGATTCCATTGTTAGAATTTTAAGTATCTCATCTCATTATGATTTGTTTGTTATGAATTACTAAGATAAATAAATCAAAAGGTTCAATTCAATGTTTTTCTTTTCTTTTTTTATTGGATATTTTATTTACATTTCAGATTCCCTTAACCCACTTCCCTCCCTCCCACCCAGGAATCCCCTATCCCATCCCTGCTCCTCCTGCTTCAATGAGGATGTGACCCCAACTACTCCCAACTCTCACCCCCCCACCCTCAAATTCCCACACACGTGGGGTCCAGCCATCATGGGATCAAGGATATCCTCTCCCACCTATACCTGACAGGACCATCCTCCCTTGCATATACAGCTGGAGCCATGGGTCCCTCCCTAAGTGCCAGGCTGGTGGTTTAGACCCTGGGGACTCTGGTTGGTTGGTATTGATGCTCTCCTCATGGGGTCGCAAACCCTTTCAGCTCCTACAGTCTTCACTCTAACTCCTCCATTGAGAACCCCATGATCAGTTCAATGGTTAGCTGTGAGCGTCTGTCTCTGAATATGTCAGACTCTTGCAGACCTCTAAGGAGACAGCTATATCAGGCTCTTATCAGCATGCACTTCCTGACTTCCACATCAGCATCTACCTTTGGTGACTGCACGTGGGATGGATACCTGGTTCATCGTTGGGCATGGGACTGGAACCCAGAGACTGTAAGTGAGAAATGGCAGGCATTTGGCCATGTCCCCAGAACCCAGAGTCCTGATGCAAGTCTCGTCTCCATAGACCTACATTGTTCAGTCACATATGCCATTACAGCCCCTCCCAAAGTGCACAGGTAGAGGGTGTGACTAGAGGCCTCAGGCCCTAGGGATTTACATACTAATGAAGGCCAGAGGGCAGAGCAAATTAAGAATTCCTCCCCAGACCCTCCCTCTTTTTCTCCCTCCCTATTTAACTCAGGACTGCCCTGAGTTTCAGGGGAGTACATCCAGATCCATCCACCATCCGCCATGACAATAAACCCTTTTGGAACCAAGGACTTCCTTGTGTCATTGGAGCTGCCATGGACAAAGCCTCCAGCCTCAGAAACCTTAGACCTTCTCGTGTATGTGGGACCTGCCATCGTTGAAACCCACTGGGACTCCACTACTGCGACATATATTTTCCTACAGATACCCAGGTGGCATGGTCTCCAGACGACTCTTCCTTCAGTTTCTGTCCTACACTTTGTCTCCATATTTACTCCCTTGAGTATTTTGTTACTCCTTCTAAGAAGGACTGAAACACCCCTACTTGGTCTTCTTCTTCATGAGCTTTATGTGGTCTGTGAGTTGAATCTTAGGTATTTCAAGCTTCTGGGCTAAAAACCCAATAATCAGTGAGTGAATACCATGTGTGTTCTTTTGTGATTGGGTTACCTCACTCAGGATAATATTTTCTAGTTCCATCCATTTACCTAAGAATTTTTTGAATTCATTGTTTTTAATAGCTGAGTAGTACTCCATTGTGTAAATGTACCACATTTTTTGTATCCATTCCTCTGTTGAGGGACATCTGGGTTCTTTCCTGCTTCTGGCTATTATAAATAAAGCTGCTATGAACATAGTTGAGCATATGTCCTTGTTATATGTTAGAGCATCTTCTGGGTATATGCCCAGGAATGGTATAGCTGGGTCCTCAGGTAATGCTATGTCCAATTTTCTGAGGAACTGCCAGACTGATTTCCAGAGTGGTTGCACCATCTTGCAATCCCACTAACAATGGAGGAGTGTTCCTCTTTTTCCACATCCTTACCAGCATCTACTATCACCTGAGTTTTTGATCTTAGCCATGTTGACTGGTGTGAGGTGGAATCTCAGGGTTGTTTTGATTTGCATTTCCCTGATGACTAAAGATGCTGAACATTTCTTTAGGTGCTTCTCAGCCATTCGCATTTCCTCAGTTGAGAATTCTTTGTTTAGCTCTATACTCCATTTTTTAATAGGGTTATTTGGTTGTCTGAAGTCTAATTTCTTGAGTTCTTTGTATATATTGGATATTAGTCCTCTATCGTATGTGGGATTCGTAAAGATCTTTTCCCAATCTGTTGGTTGCCATTTTGTCCTATTGACGGTGTCCATTGCCTTACAGATACTTTGCAATTTTATAAGGTCCCATAAACTTATTTGAAATTTAAGATTCCAAATTGTTTAACTATGAAAATATTTTTTTGGCTAGATGTTAATAATTGCATTCAGGTTTCTTGCTCCAGGAAGACCAGAGAGCACCTCAGGAGTAGATTTCCTGCTCCAATAGAGTCTAGATACACATTGCTACCAGATGTCAAATCTCAATAGCTTCAGAGGTCAGTATAGGATCAGAGTTTCAGCACTTGTGTGTCCAGGGTCACCGGAGAGACTGGAACTTTGCTCGTGTGGTTGATAAGATCAGCTTGTGTGTGCAGTTCTGACTTCTGAGGTTCCTGTTGTCACTGAAAGATTGTGAGTCTATATTACTATGAGCTCAAGGTTATTATGAACCTTTGGCTCTGCTCACAATACTCAAATAGTACATAGAAAACTATATATCTGAAGTTTGGTATCCTTCTTCTCGATGGTTCACAGACTCCAAGAGGTGACTGAGGTTTTGATTCTATTTGGTTTCCTTGGGGTTTGTATGGCTCCACCTTTGACCCTTTTGGTAGATAGTTGAGATGAGTTTACCTCACTGACCCCACTACCATTTGACACAAAATTTCATCAGTCGACAGAACTGAACTTTACGAAGATATCCCTCAGGAAAATGTCACAGAAAATAAAATATCCAAAGAGGCTCACAGGAAGAGGAAGTCAAAATGAAAGATACATAAAACTTGAAATGGAACACAAAGGATACCACACAGTGGCCTGACATGATCCATCCCCATCCAGTGAATTTCCTGAAATGAGACCCGAAAACAGTAGAAACAGCTGGAATACCCGAGAAAGAATCCACTTCTCGAGATTTGTATCTTTTATACTCTAAAAAAAAAGAAAGAAAGAAAGAAAAAGAAATAATTTCAGAATGAATCTAAGACTTTGGAACTACAATATTACACCAAGTGAGGTAACTCTGACTCGGAAAGACAAACACTACATGTTTGCTCTCATCTGTGGTTCCTAGTTTCAAATCTCCAGATCTGATAGCACAAAATAACTGTAAAAACCAGTGATGCAAATAAAAAACAAATTAACACAACAAAACAACAACAAACATGGGAGGGATTGATAGGGAGAGAATTAGCAGGATACAGTGAATTAAGAAGAGGGAAATGGGGGTACTTTAATTTGGCAGGGAAGAGAGAGGATAATAAAGAAGAAGAAATGATAAATAACACTAAGAATATTTGGAAAAGCCATAGGGAATCATATTACTTTATATTCACTTAAATTATATACCAAATATATAACTATGCAGATGTATGTGTATATGTATATAGATTAAATGAGGTTATGCCACTTGGGGTGAAAATGCACTTCCAAGGAACCATAGACCATCTAACAAGAACCCTAGTGGCAAATATGAGGAACCTCCTTTCAAGGACTCCAAGAAATTCTCAAAACCAAAAGAAGCTATTGCTGTTGTCCTCGGTTGCCTTACAGAAATTGAAGGTGAGTCCACATTACTGATGATACCATGAATGTTGGACACAGGACAAAGAGGAATTGAGCTGGCATTGACTCGAAAGCCTTCTCCCCAAGGACTAGCTTTTATAGTACAAGCTTGGTGTAAGCTGCCAAAGAAGGAAGGTAATGAAAAGCTCTACTCTGATAGGATGTTACAAACTACAACAATGACTAACACGACAAGATATCCATGACCTAAAAGTAGCACTTATATTCTGTAGAGAACCAAGAATTGTCCAACTGGACTTAAGGTCAGTTCAGTAGGTGGAAAATCATGCTTGGTGCTATAAATGTAGCCAAGCACTTGTGACAAATGGCAGTATAATCCCCCAATCCAGTATAATTCTTTTTTTTAAGATTTATTTATTTATTTCATGTTTGTGAGTACAATGTCACTGTCACTGTCTTCAGACACACCAGAAGAGGGCATCTGATCCTATTCCAGATGGTGAACCACCATGTCGTTGCTGGGAATTGAACTCAGGACCTCTGAAAGGGCAGTTAATACATTCAACTATCTCTCCAGCTCACTGGTATAATTCTTAACTGCATTCTCAATACTTAATCGGACATGCACAGATGAGTGTAGCTCTCACCTCTCATCAAAGAAGCTTCTTTTTCAGTAGACAGAGACCAGAGGGTAAAGGATATTAGAAGTATAGTTAAAATAATCATAAGTTTGTAATTTCTAACAATACTGAATTATTGTTCCTAAACCTCAAAGAATAGAAATGCCAGGAATTTTAAAACACTGGGAAACTTGCCTTTTCATTGTATGTTATAGTCTGAAATGCATCACTGTAACTGAATAATTTTAAAAAATAAAAAAAGGTTAGTGTGAATTAAAGCTCTTGTGATGAAGAGAGAAAACCATTTATTTTATGCTCCTAACAGATCCCCTCTGGTGACAGTTGAGATATGCAGGCACAGGCCAGAAAATAAGCAAGATTTGTGGACCATAGGGTTCATGGACTTGGTATCTGTGTCAGTTGTTTTGGAATCCATCTACCTAGTGACTAGAAGTCTGCTTGGTTACAACAGAGAAAAATGGAGTCTTCATAGCATTTCATGGGAGTGTGACATCATGAGTCCGATGTTCTTCTCCAAGCTTTTGCTGGTGGTGCCATCCCTCAAATGTTAAGAATGAGCATGTAAACCCCATTCTCCTTGACCCTGTCCCACACAGGTCCTGAGGTGTTACACTTTGCTTCATCACAGGAATATAACAGGGAGTTGAAATTTGTCAGAAAGTAAAAGAAGACAGGAAAAACAAAAATAAAAACAAGCCCACAAAAAAAAGTTAGCTTGAAAAATGATGAATGGTTTAACCTAGAATCCCTCTGCAGCTCTTCTCTATCCAGGGTCCCTCCTCTTTGATACTTAAGAGACAGTGTAAGCCCTTCTGCTTCTGCTCACTGATGCTTCTGCACTGAACACATTGCTGTTCATTGATATAAAAGTTAAATTTTCTCTTTTGGTTCCCTCCCAAACACTGAAGATGTCCTTTCCAGTCTGCTGACAACATTTCTTTTTCTTGAAACCCACTACTGTCACTCATGCTGTCTCTGTGTTTCTCTAAAGCAGTGGTTGTCAACCTTCTTAATGCTGTGACCGTTTAACACAGTTTCTCATGCCATTGTGAACCCCAACCATAAATTATTTTTGTTACTACTTCATAACTGTAATTTTGCTACTGTGTGAATTGTAATATCAATATTTTTTTTTGGAGATAGACATTTGCCAAAGTGGGTCGTAATCCACAAATTGAGAACCATTACCCTAAACCAATCACTTTTGTAATACACATATCCCAAAGGGGTTGCTATTGTTTCTTTATTACTGTTGCATTCTGCTGTGTATTTTTTTCTTCTAGTTAAAGGAGAAAGGATTGGTTCATGTTCTATTAAGGAAGAAGAGGGGAAAGGGATAACAGTCAGCTAATGGATTAGATTAATAGTCTATGATAACTCACCTGCCTACCTTTCCCCCTGACAACAAACATGAACATAATAACAAATGTATTATCTCACTACACAATTGAAGTGGGCGCATATGGTTTTAGATACTTCAAATAGTTTCCAACCAACT